TAACCAAACTAGTTGGGGGAGGGCTAATGATTATTTTTTTTTTTTTTTTTTGGCCAAAATTAACCTGAAACAAGAGTTGAATCCATTAAACATTGCATGCATCTGTCCAACATAAGTGTGCTATTTAATAGTGTTAATATTTTATTTTTGTAAGGCTTTGACTTGAGTTTGCGTTATATATATCTCAGATGTGCATAAACATTGCTCCTTAAATGCCATTAGGTCACTAAAAGTTTTTTTTCTTCCATATTTTTATTAAATGACATTTATTCACTAACAGTTATTTTATCTTTTATATTTTTAGGTTGAGAATGCTGGACGTAATGTTGTCTCAGAGATTTTGCTGGCAATTCCTAATATGCAGGCAAAGAATTTGGCAAATTTGAAAGCATTTTACAATGAAGGAAAAGGAAAAGGTTCTGCCATTAACCTTCCAGTTTCGGAGGTTTACCCAGAGGGGATGCCCCATGAATTGACCTTCCACACCCTGTCATTAACTGAGGGTCTGGAGAAAGGGAAAAGCCTCTCTGTAAATGTTCTTACCATATTTACTCATTCCCTGCAGCCATTCCCTGAGGAAATCAGTCAAGCGGATGCCCAGCTTGTTGTTTATCAGGATAGTGCCTACTATTTATCACCCTATGTGGTGAAGTCTCAGTCGCTTAATGTTCTGCTACCTGGTGGACGGGTGGAATCATATACTAAACATCCCAGTGGAAAACTTGTAGACTCTGAAATTAAATATGGACCTTATGAGAAACTTCCTCCTTTCTCTTACTCGGCCATAGTTATTCATTTTGAAAACAATAATCCATTTGTGGTTGCTCAAGAATTAGTGAGGGAGATAGAGATTTCTCACTGGGGTAGCATACAGGTAACTGAACACTACAACCTTGCCCACAAAGGGGCCACTAACAAAGGGGGCTTTTCTAGGTTAATCTCATCTACTTTTTAATTTTCATTTTCTATCGTGCTAACCAAACTAAAACTAGCTGTTTTAACATGCATTTTCTATATAGGCTTGATTACCAATCTAGATCATATATGGGAGGGAGATCATCGCTTAGACAACTCATTGCTAGGTTGCCACCACGAGCCCATTCTATTTATTATAGGGATGACATTGGGAACATCTCAACATCTCATCTTTGGGGAGACTCTAGAAAGGTGACATACACGCTCATCACCTAAATTTATTTCTTCTACAAGATATAACTTAAATTTTGGTTGAGTCGAACTTGTTATATCCACGGCTGGAGCTTGAGCTTTATCATTTAAATTAGTTTGAGTTCAAGTTAAATCTATGAGTGTTCGAGCTACTCATTTATTACAGAAGAGAGAATATGATTCTGTTTTATGTTATTATTGTAATAAAATGCTCAGAAGAAAAAAAGTTAATTAAGAAATAATAAGAAAACACTTTAAATAAATGAGAGAGAATTTTTAAATATTTTAAATAGCTTTGTATTCAAAATTTAAAATGTTAATATATTTTTATTTTCTTTTATTTTATTATTTTTTATACAAACTAGCTGACGAGCGGACTAGTTGGGTTTGGCTCAGGCTTAATTCGTTAGCTAATCGAGCTCAACTCACGAGCTATTCATTGAGTAATGCTCGAGCCACATTTGAGTCAGCTTAACTCTGTTATACCTCTAGCTTGTTCTACTTGAGATTCACAATTTTTGTGTTATATGCAGACACAGCTGGAAATCGAACCTAGATTTCCTATATTTGGTGGATGGAGAACATCCTTTACCATTGGCTACGGCTTACCTCTGCAAGATTTTTTGTTTATTTCTGAGGGAAACCGTTTTCTGAACATCACATTTGGCTGCCCTATGGATGAGGTTGTTATTGATAATCTCATTGTTAAGGTGAGTCACTCTAGTTTGAACTATTATTTCCTGATTGTTCATGCAAAGTTATTTTAACGTTTGTTGGATGACTTCCTTTTTTATGTTCAGCATCTTCCACATACTGTATTTTGTTCCAATGTTTTAGCTCCTGCATTTTTGATTTGATAATCATTATATTTAGTTTTCTAGTTCATTGGCTTGTAGTAAACAGATTTCTTTTAGAGCTTTTGATGTTCAATACGTTCTTTTAAATTTTATTGGAGGCGCTGTTTTTACATATTTCATTTAAGTGGAAGCATAATTCCTTCTAGGAACGACATTCATGATAATCATATAACTATTATTATTTCCTTAAAGGACCACTCAACTACACTGTGAATAGTGCTGTACATTTACTGTTAAGAAGATTTACATGCATACAGCCTAAGCCTTAATCTAACGCCTAAACTTCAATTTTTACATACACACCACCTGTCCTATGCATGAAAATGTGTATTTCACTTTTAAAAGTTAAAATGGTGGTATTTTGGATGTGATATAAAAGATTTGAGTAGTATAAATGTAACGAGCAAAATTTAGGTGTTAGATATGTGAGTACATAAAAATTGGGTGGTACGTATGTAAATGCCCCTTATTGTTAGAATGGTAGGCTTTACATTTGCAATCTCTGTACTTTCATCTTGTTATTTCTCATTTTCTCTATGTAGGAAACATGTATTAGTTTGTTGCCAGAGGGGAAATGGGCTATTCTGTCCCTTCAAAGAAAAAAAAAAGCATGCTATAATGGAATCTTGATAATTTTTAATTACATAGCGCTCATAGTTTTTAAACCATGTTGATCTTTCAATATATTGGAAAGCTATTTCTTTTTGTATCCCATTATTCAGATAAGCAGCTTGTTCCTATCCTTTTGTTTATAGTCCTATCTGTCTTGCATCAATCAGCTTGTGGTTTGGTTGAAATAACAATTTCACATTTTTTGCTGCCCACAGTTTTTAATCATCACCCTCCAACTAGCAAAGTCTGCATGCTTCTTATCCTATCTATATCTTGCCTATGACTCGTACCCTTAGTTGTGATGTTGTTTTTCTTATATATTTGGCAATTTTGAGTTCCAATGATAGAGCAAAATGGTAATTTAATCAAAATGGCTTACTGTTCTTATGAAATTTTATGCAATATGTTATTTACAATCATTGTCTCTCAAGTATCAGTGCTTGCACGGCAATTGGTATGACTTTTTAGGATTGAGATGCAGTTGAAATGTTCTGTTTAAGTATTTTCATTAAGTTCTATCTGACATGACTAGACATTTGTTGGGATTCCAACTTTTCTACTTCATTTATTAGGAAAAAAGTTTCAAGAAGGCGTAGACACAACCAAACATAATCCAAATTGCTGATCTGACCTCTATTAAATAATTGATAGACATTGAATCTCAACATTGGTGGTCAAAGTTAGTTTTGGATTGAGTCAATGTTCTCGATCTTTTTGTCAAAATATTGAATAATGAAAGCCCATGTTGTTTTGTCTTTCTGCCAAAGATTACTTGATTTTATAAACCATAGACTTTGTGATTCATGCATTCTTTATTTGAAAAAATGAAATTAGGTATATTGTATTCTATTAGACATAAAACAATGGCCATGTTCATGGACATCCATGTTTCTTTCATTTCAAAATTGCCCTTCCTCCATTGTTAAAGATAATCTTTGATGAGAAAAAACATATTGGCATTCTGTAGAGCGCATTCTGCTGCGTATCAAAGACATTTGTTTTTGGGTTTTTTCATCATTAAACATTTGCCATTAATCTCATAAATGTACACTGATCTCATTTCTTGGTGCTATTCCTAAGCTTTTTTTTTTCTTGAAAGGTTTTAATACGCCTAGTTTTTCTCCTTTCTAAAATGCCATTAGAAAGTTAAAAGGGGCTATATAATTGGAATTTTAATTCCATATAGGTAATGTAGGTTCAGTTCTTACTCAAGAGTATATTTGTGCTTCATTGATGATATATTCCATTTTGCTGGAATTTGTAGTTTCATGTCATTATTTAGCGATGGAATTCTCGTCTTCAGCATCCTTAGTTTAAGTTAATTTGCTTTAGCATTAAAACCACTGCAAGTTGAAATGCTTCACCTGCTAAGGATGATGATTTATTTGCTGGTTGCAGGTAGTTTTACCTGAAGGATCCAAAGAAGTTTCTGTTTTGGTTCCATTTCACACCAAACAATGGCACGAGGTCGGCTATAGTATTTATTACGTGCACTACTTTGGTTCATTACAATAGTATTGACAAGAATTTTTTGATTATTTGTGCATTTTCCTCTGCAGACAAAATATTCACATCTGGACCTTATTGGAAGGCCTGTTATTGTCTTGAAAAAAACCAATGTTGTTCCAGAGCATAATACCTATTTTCAGGTACGCCTCAAGTCATTTTTATTGACTTCTTTACACTTTTTTTTTCCTTTTATTAAAAGGTTTAATATTTAATTTTTCAGTTTCTCTGCTTCGTAAGTTTTCTTTTGGTCTAGATGCATGAATAATAGTTAAGATGAAATTATAAGAAACTCCTCATTGAGCATTATTGGTAGATCCATATATTTTTAATGCTGGCGCCAAAAAAATAGAGACATGAACTATGCCAACTTCGCAATTTACACTTAGAGATGTTGAGTAGGGCGTGGAGCAGTGGGTTAAGTACTTATATTTAAGTATACTTGAAGGTCCAGATTTGAGTCATGGAAACTACTACTTTGCACATATAAAGTTTAAGGATGTGGACATCAACCTCTCCCCAAACCCTGTTTGGTTGAAACTCTATCTACTGGGTGTTCTTTTTGGATTAATGAAGGAAAATTTGACAATTAGGGCTGAGAAACTATTAAATAAATAGAGAAAATGAGATGGTTTATAGAATCATTGCGAGTAAAAGGTAGCACTATCAGATTTGATGTAGAAGTTAGTCTAATGTCACTCAACTTGCAGTGACATAAAGTTTAATCTACAAAGTAAAAGTTTGTAAACATAAAGTTTAATCTACAAATGTGCATAGGAAACCTAATTTATTTAGGTTTTCACATTTCCAGAAGAGTATGACAAGGGGCTTATTAATATGAAGTAATGGCCGGTTTAGTTTTATCCTTGAGCGCTATTCTTGAAATATTGCATATTTCATTAACAAAATAAAGCGGTTACATCAAAAAGCAAAAACTAAAATCTATGCCTCTTGGGCATTTACAAGATGCGTATGATTCTCTTGCAAAACAACACAAGTTAAAAGAAAATCACTATCAAGGTCTTTTTTTGCACTGAGTATGGGAAGCTATGTTACTTTCTCTATTGGTGAAGTGAAACAAAACTTGCTTAAATTTAATCAAGAAACCAATATTTGGGTTGTTGGGAGTGTTGAGCCGCGACCTCCTCTTGTCCATGGAATGCTGAAAGTAGTTGATCACATTGGAGCTATCCCCTTCGATGATTATTTTGTTGCCCTTAGTCATCTAATCTTCCATAAGTCTTTGGAGAGATATAACAACAATCATTTCCACTTGCGTGCTGTCTCAATACATAAATTTATAGCCCAAGGCCGCAATCAAGCGTCACTGCCCGTACCGAATATTAATTCCAATGCCCGCAAGGTTGGAAGGAAGAAGGGTTCTTTTAAATTTCACTTTATTCTAACCTGGAGAAGGGGGGGGGGGGGGGCATACCGAATAATAATTCCAATGCCCGCAAGGTTGGAAGGACGCAGGGTTCTTTTAACTTTCACTTTATTCTAACCTAGAGAGGGGGGGGGGGGGGGGTTTTCCAAAGAGGCCGGGAAAGCAGGTTTTTGATGGCACCCTAGTGCTCTGAAATTGGATAAAATTGGGGGTCGGTAAGGGCCTCAAGCAAGTTGGAAGCAATCGTCGTGGGGGTACCGTTAGCTTTAGCATGCTTTTTGGCTTTTCTTGTCCTCCAATAGAGGTAAACCGCATTACAAAATTGCCTTTCCAATGGGGCATTGGAAGTAGTGACTTCATGGAGCTTCTCGAGTACCTCCTTGAAGGTTTGAAAAGTGGGGATGATGAAGCCTCATTTGCGGAGTTTCTCGAGCACTGCAATCAAAGGAAATAATTAGTAGTAAGATGGGTTCTGTCTCCACACTTGCACATCCCCACATACATTGTTGGGAGTCTGCGGTTGGAAAGCCAAGCATTCATGTGGATGCCATCCATGCTAAACCTCCACCAGATCGCCTCCCTTGAACGCTATTCTTTGAAAATACAGAAGTACCTTCTAACTAATTAAACAAATCGGCAATCTTCGGTAGTGGATACTTTTTTTTAATTGTAAGCTTATTCAACCCTCTCTAGTCAATACACATTCCGAAGCTCTCATCTTTCTTCTTCATGAATATTATTGGAGCTTCCTAAGGTGAGGTGCTAGGTCTGATAAACCCTTTACATAGTAACTCTTGTAATTGACTTGACTTTTCAACTCCTGTAACCCTTTAACCGTTATTTTGTAGGATGCTTTGGATACAAGCTTAGAACTTGACGAGAGCTCAATAGTGAAATCAATCTTTTGCACTGGTGTTTCGACGACTAAATCATCAAGAAAAACTTTTGGATATTTTCTTGCCTCTGGGATTTCATCTAAGGACTTCACTTCTTTAGAGATATCTGTTACCTGAACAAAAAAAACATTGACTTCCATGATTCAAGAATTTGAAAGCCTTCAAATAGGTTTATCATGGATGCCAATCCTATATCATCATAAAGTTTAACTGTTGTCTCCGTAGGTACATTTAATTTTACAGTCTTCTTATTGTAATCAATGATAACAAATTTTTTAGATAACTAATCTATGCCTAAAATCATTTCAAACTCCATTAAGGGTAACAAGATAAGATGTGCATAAAATTTTTTTTCTCCATTCGTCTACTTCACCTCATGTGATTGATTAACCTCCATAAAAAGTACAATTTGGCATTCTAACCGACAATATAACATTCATTAAGATGATATTCAATTGCATCATTTTAACTAGTTCTTTAGCTATAAAAGACCATGATGCTCCCGAATCAAACAATAATCTTATTGGCCTATTTCGAGACAAATATACGTATCAATGAAATCATTGCAGTGAACAACTAAGGTTAACTTATTAATATAATTAAGTTCTTACATTGTGTTATGTGACATGACATGAATTTTGTGATGACTAAAGATGCTCTATGTTAAGATTATTAAAAGTGAAATATACCTTGATTACTTGAGGGGAGTCCTTAGCTTCTGCTGAGAAAGTGCATATGCTATGGGCTAGACTTTCTACTGAGTCTTGCCTACATTTGACACTTATCCTAAAGGGTCTACTGCCCTCAGCTTGCCAAAGTTCTTTTGAGGTGGTTTAGAACTGTTCCTAGAATCAGCTGCCCTCTGTCCCAATCTATGACAATTCTTCTCCATGTTCGCACTGGTGGCACCAAAAGCGAGACACTTGTCACATTTCTTCACTTTAAACTGTGTCAACATTGTTGGATCTAGTCTTCTTAGCACTTGTATTTCCTAGATGGAAGGACTGCCTGCACTGAGAGCCCTGAGGAAACCTGGTCACCTTTGAATTCTTCCTCTTCTAAAAGTCTCACCTCTGAGTAGCTTCTAAATCTAGCTCTCTCCATCAGAACAGAGTAATCAATGATCCCGAGAGGATTAAGTGACTGTCTAATCATATCTTTTAGCCCAGGCAAAAATCAGGGGCACTTCTATACATTTGGAATCAATTGGAGCGCATATCTTGAGAGCATGGTGAATTCAACTTTATACTGCATAATAGATTGATCATCCTTAACCAAGCGAATAACTTTGTTCCGCGTCTGCATCCTTTTTGACAGTGTTTCGAACCTGTCTCTAAAAGTGCTCACAAACTCGTCTCACTGCATCATGTGACTAGCTCTATCCTTGTATTTCTTCTGCAATTGTTCTTGCCATCATTTTGTCGTTTTTTCTTTCAAGGCAAAAAATCTCAGTGCAACTCTCTTGTTAAGTGGATAAGACACCCCATCTAGAAGCTTTTCCACTCTTAGCAGTCAATTTTTAGTATCCATCAGACCTCCAAATTAGCACCCATCGGACCTCCAGAAAAGAAAGATTGTCTCATATCCTGAAAAAAATTCAAATATGTGTCCATCTGGCCTCCCCCACTGGAATTGACATGAGTTTGAGAGTTTCTAATCAATTGAGTTACTACACTCATCATCTCAACAAATGCATCTGTATTCACAATAATATATGGGGTGTATCACCTTATACCATATCATCTCTAGCTTCTTCCCGTTCATTTTTCATATTTCTGAAATAACATGAGAAAAATTATAATTAACCCAATTTAACCCTTGATTAATATTACTCATGAATTGACTCAATCAATCTAATGACTCTTTTTGATCATGATTCAACTTATTTTGCTCTGATAACACTTTTGCAACAACTTGGTTTGATAGCTTAGAATTATTTAAGTCAGAGCTGCGGTCGGATGGTATTGATACCACAATTTGATATACTTGCTTTGTATATATCTTCTTTAATTTCAGTCATTGACAAAGGCGCCAAAAACTTGACCCCCTTTCCGTACTGATAATATAATTTTATGATTTTATAGCGGCTACTCCGAGGTATTAAATTTTCTAATTATTGATTTCAAAGCTTCACTAGAATTGAAACCTAAGTGCACGTATTACTCAAATAATATATGATTTTCTTTTAAACCTCAGTATTGATCCCACAAGGAAGATAAAAACTATTTTATGAATTCAGTAAAACTTTACTTAAACTTCAAACAATTATCTAGGAAATAAGGTCGCAATTTTATGTGTAAAAAGAAGTAATTAATTCCTACTAATTCAGTTTCAGAACTTAAAGAAAATGCTTAGTGTTTCTAAACTAACTTTACGTAGAAGAGTTCAAATTATATGAAAAATTTTCCTCTTTGCAATGAGATAATAGTCAGTGTAAGAATCAAATGTTAGAAGGTTTAAATGTAGTATTGTGACAAATAAGAACTTACCTATTCTTTATCCTTTTTTGAGTGCATAAAGAACACTAACTAACCTTGAGTTAATTTCTTAAATCCTTGGTTATGATAGGTAGATTATAGTATGTTACTCTAGATTACCCATTGTGCCCACAATTTTGGACTAACCTAACCTTAACTCTAGAACTACTTCTTATTACCAAAAATTTTAACTCAAGTCTACTATAACATTTATAGAATCAAAAATATAGTTCTCTTAAGATAACACCACATATTATAGGTTATTTCAAAATAAATAGTCTATTGAGGACATATAAAACTTAGTTTTTAAAAGTTTTTCTTCCTCCCCAAACTTAAGTTTTTAAACAGATTTAAACATTTTAGTACAAAATAAATATGAAGAG